GTTTCTTAGTTCCTGTTAGTACACGTGCTGCTGCATTCTGAATTAGCTGGAGAGTTTTTAAGGACTTACTAGAGCTACCTGATAATAGAGAGTTACAGTAATCCAGCCTAGAGGTAACAAAAGCGTGGACCAATTTTTCTGCATCTTTTCGGGTCAGGATAGGCCTAATTTTCGCAATATTACGCAGATGAAAAAATGCAGTCCGTGAGGTTTGTTTTAAATGAGAATCAAGACAAATCTTGATCAAATGTTACTCCGAGGTTTCTTACGGTAGTGCTAGAGGCCAGAGCAATGCCATCTAGAGAAACTATGTCATCAGATAAAGAGTCTCTGAGTTGTTTGGGGCCAAGAACAATAACTTCAGTTTTGTCTGAATTGTCAGTGCATTTGCCATTAAGGAAATACGTGAATACACCAATTGGTATATCTGCTAAGTTTCAGTATTATCATTATGTTTTATCCATGATCTGATCACATACTTGGTATGAAAACAACGTAAAAACAGGTGCTTGATTGAAAAATTGTTGATTTACCATGAAAACTATGCTGTTTCTTTCAGCTGTGTTACAACTACAACTCATGCTGCCACAATTACGGCGCACATGTGCTTCTTATGTAACATCACACTGCGTCCACTTTCACTTTAATTCCTCGCAACATGTTTTCTCTATTGAAAAACTTAAAGTGGTTTATGATAGCAGACACGTGTATGCTGTGTACCTGAAAATGTTACGTATACATATACATAAGTGTGACAATCATGGCAACGAAATGTACATTTTAGATTAGATTATGAAATTTGGATTGGCAGTTTCAAAAGCTGAATTTATTTGCTTCAATGTTCATGTATTCAGATCTCAAAAATTTAAGTTTAAGAAATTCGGCGGTGTTAACATTTTAATATAAATATTCAGTGGCCATTTAGTTTTAAATACTTACGTCTCTTACTTGCCTCCATAGATGAGTACTAGCAGACAGCTTGTACAGCTTTTGTTGCAGGATGGAAATTTACACAAATTATCCAACGTTCCAAATCATGGATAACAGCAGTAGGCAGATTTAAATGTAGGAAATATGAAAATCAAAATTCTCGAGGTCCAAATATTAAGTGACTTTGTGGAAATTATTGGGGAAGAGGACTTGCTTGATTCATGAGACAACTTTTAAATAATACTTTTAAATCTTTGCACTTTGGGGAAAGGTATTAAGTATTTTCAAGTCAAAGGTCCATGTTAAGTCATTTTAGTGCAAGTCATGTTGCAAGTCTAAAGTCACTGAATTTGTGACTAAAGTGCCACACCTCTGGTTTGAGCATAGGTGTGTTTTATGTAGTGTCCTACCCCCCCAATTCTGAAACAAAACCTACACCCTTCCTTGGGTTTCAGGGTCCAAAATGTTAAATTTATTTTACTTAGCAAAATATTTTCTTTACAGAAATACAGCAGAGATATCCTCCTGAGAACCGAACTTTTGTTTGGTATGTATTTTTAATTACTCCTACAGTAGCTATTTGGGATCAGTAGGACCTGAGAAGTAGAAAAAACTATGATAATAAAGTCCCAATGTCCTCAAATGACACAATAATAAAGTCCCAATGTCCTCAAACGAGATGACGATAAAGTCCCAATGTCTTCAAACGAGATGACAATAAAGTCCCAATGTCCTCAAACGAGATGACGATAAAGTCCCAATGTCCTCAAACGAGATGACAATAAAGTCCCAATGTCCTCAAACGAGATGACAATAAAGTCCCAATGTCCTCAAACGAGATGACAATAAAGTCCAAATGTCCGCAAATGAGATGATGATAAAGTCCCAATGTCCTCAAACGAGATAACAATAAAGTCCAAATGTCCGCAAATGAGATGATGATAAAGTCCCAATGTCCTCAAATGAGATGATAATAAAGTCCAAATGTCCTCAAATGAGATGATAATAAAGTCACAATGTCCTCAAACGAGATGACGATAAAGTCACAATGTCCTCAGTCGAGATAACAATAACGTCCAAATGTCCGCAAACGAGATGATGATAAAGTCCCAATGTCCTCAAACGAGATGACAATAAAATCCCAATGTCCTCAAACAAGATGACAATAAAATCCCAACGTCCTCAAACGAGATAACAATAATGTCCAAATGTCCGCAAACGAGATGATGATAAAGTCCCAATGTCCTCAAACGAGATGACAATAAAATCCCAATGTCCTCAAACGAAATAACAATAACATCCAAATGTCTGCAAACGAGATGATGATAAAGTCCCAATGTCCTCAAACGAGATGACAATAAAATCCCAATGTCCTCAAACAAGATGACAATAAAGTCCCAATGTCCTCAAATGAGATAACAATAAAGTCCAAATGTCCGCAAACGAGATGATAATGAAGTCCCAATGTCCTCCAATGAGAAGACAATCAAGTCCCAATGTCTTCTAACAAGTACTTCCTAATTAACAGTGTCTTAGCTCCTTACTGTCCTTACTGCCATATCAAACTACAAACATTACTAATCATAAATACAAAAGTTTCATCCATAAAATTTGATCAGGTTTTGTCCACTTTTGTGTTGGGATCAGAATCTGACTTGTTTTTACATGGATTAGTGTATTGCAGTCTTACAACCACTAGATGGGACAAAAAAGTGTCCACGAATGAGGACAACAGGTCTAAGTTATGTAGAATGAAGTGGAAGGTCAAGTAAACCCAAAATGTGATGTCTTCATATGAGAACACAGGGTCTCAGGAGGAAATAACAAGTTGAAAATTTTAGGTGGCTTTCTTGGTAATCTCTGTTAGAAAGTGTCCCAAATTACCTGACTGCACCCTGTATTCATGTTTTTTAAATTCAGGTTTTAAACAATTGAGCTTCCATACATACCTCATCACCCCAAAAGTCCTCATACTGGTGGCTTGGTTTCAGGGACCGGTCTGACTTGCCTGACTCAGCCCTGAGTAGCGGTGGGCCGGGCTGTCAGGCTGTGAAGGGGCGGGACAGGTGAGGAGGAGAGTGTACAAGAAAGATAGTATGGGTGGCTTTTCTCCAGTGTGTCTGCGTCGCCATGTGGAGGATAGAGAGCTGAAAAGTTCGTTTTTAATTCGTTTATTTATCGTCGTCAGTTGTTGCGTTCGCCGCTTTTCGGTCGGAGTCCGCCATTGTTGTTAGTTAACGTTCTGTTTTTTTTAAATCTCACTCCTGCGCGAGACACTTTAACGGTTTTTCAAAGACAACAAAACGTGGGCAGTGGTTAGCAAACAACAACTCAACACAACTTACCTTCAGTCGATAATACGGCAGTGTAAATACTTTTTATTACCTTTTTTAATAACTATATTTTTTAACTTAAACTTGGTGGTCAGCTTTGCCCCGTCACCATGGAGAGGCACGACTATCACTCAGCAACACACGAGTATCCACATCCGTTCATCCACAAAGTGAAGCTGACGAGGACACACAGGATAAGGGTAATTATAACTCTTAAAGTGTTTGATTTAATGGCGGAAACTGTGTTAATTCACAGTAGGTTTTAAAAGGAGAGCGACAGAAGTCAAACAAGCTGTTGACACTCAGTCATCTCCCCAAATCTGCCACCTGAAACTACTCAGGCAGTTAATGACACTGGGAAGAGTTGTCCTCAAAACACACTCCCTATGTGTGTTAATAGGGGGCCACTGAGATACCATGTCCATATTTGGACGTCGATATAAACTCCAAATTCCCTTCTGTGGTGTTCATGTTTTTCCATATGAACTTTAAGAGAACAAAGAGTCAGTCATGTTTCTGTCTCACTGTGGCGTATAAGCAAAACAGCCAAGTCATAGGTGTTTCAGGCATAGACAGGTATGACAGATGACAACATACCATAGTTTTGCGTAACTATGACTGACAAATGATTAGGGCTGGGCAACATGGCTGACTTGTATAAGAATATTTTTTGCCATGCTGATGAAACTGCATGCACAGCTGTCAATATGCTACCCATACATGTTCTGTTGGGAAACTTTGGATTCTGACATTCATGTGGATGCCACCTGATATGTTCCACCCACCTGAACACCAGTGGAGACCAGGTACCCCCCCCCCCCCCCCCCCCACCCCCAACAGGACAATGGACAAGGACAAAAACTGCTCAGGAGTAGCCCAAGGAACATGACGGAGACCTCAAGGCATCAACCTGGCCTCCAGATTCCCCACATCCCAGTCTGATCAAACATCTGTGGGGCGTGTTGTCACCCCACCTCAACCCACAGGACTCAAAAGATCTGAAGCCAACATGGTGGTGCCAGACACTATGGGACACCCTCCAGATGTCCAGTGTCCATGCCTTGACGGGTCAGAGCCAAGTCTGATCCAAGGAGGACCCACTATGGATCGGGGGTACTTCTGGGGTACTAGCACAAATCTCAAAAGTTCAATCAGGTTGGGATCTGGGGTATTTGGAGGCCAGGTCAACACCCTTAGCTCTTTGTCCCGTTCCTCAGGTCATTCCTGAGCAGTTCTTGTGGTGTGGCAAATAAAAGTGTAAAAACAAAGAGTGTCAGACCTGCATCAGGTAAGTCAGAGCTGGTTAAAGGCTGAAGTGAACAGATACGTTTTTAGCTTTCTTTAAAAAAAAATATTTAGCAAGCTAGCTTCCCTGATATCTATATTTAGTGTGATCATAGCTTTGGGGTGTAACTGACAAAAGCAGCATCCCTGATCTTCTTCCTGCTGTTGCAGGGAACCTCCAAGAAACCAGCAGCAGATGATCACAGTGTTCTTGGAGGCAAATGGTTAACAAGTGAGTTAGCAGTGTAGCTCGGTCCCAGCCCATGTAGGGCTTTGTATACACATAGGAGGACCTTAAAATCAATTCTTAATGTAACAGGAAGTCAGTGCAGAGCAGCTCAGACTGGCCTGATGTGCTCTCTCCTCTTGGTTCTGGTTCATAGCCGAGCTGCAGAGTTTTGAATGAGCTGATTCCCACACCACTTCTCCACTGCTCCCACCTCCCTCCGCCCACAGAGACCCATCACTCCTCAGTCATCTCAGTTGTTGTACAGTGTGTGCTACGGTTTGGACTGTTGTACTAGATTTGTGTTTGCAAGATATGATACGAGGGTCTTTCAGGGCACATCTTATCTTTATCAACTGATGTGTGTTAGTTAAATCCTCTAGCCACATCTTAAGAGATAGGGTCAGTTGTGCTCGTCCATATGAGAATTAATTTCTTTGCTGTTATGAGGGAAAACCTGCTGTGTCATGTTTAGCTTTCTGGAGGTCTCGGATATTCCAAGCAGTTCCAGTACCTATTGAAAGTAAAAAGAAAAAGTGTACAATTCAGAACGCACCCGAGGTGTTCACCTCTGCAGACCTAAATGATGTTTTAAATGTACCTTCTTTTCTCCTCTGGTCCTTAGGGTATCATCCTGGGCAGCATCCTCTTCCCTCTTCGCGTCACCCTGGCGGCAATCTGCTTCCTAATCATGTGGCCAATTGCCCGGCTACGATTGGCCGGCCTGTCTGAGGAGGAACGCTCTCGGCCCGTCAAGGGCTGGAGGCACTGGCTCCTCAATTGGATCATCATGCGGCTGAGCCGAGGCGTCTACTTCTGCCTGGGCTTCCTGTGGGTGAAGGTCAAAGGTCGCAGGGCAGACCTGAGGGAGGCGCCGGTGCTGGTGGTGGCGCCTCACAGTGGCTTTCTGGACATGCTGGTTCTGTTTGGAACCAACCTGGCTGCGGTGGTGTCGCGGTCGGAGAACAGGAATCTGCCAGTCATAGGAGGTGAGGGGCTGTGATTGAGTTTATGATACACACACACACAGACGATCCTTCTTCGTTGGTTGTTACAGCTTCCATCACTGTAGCTGGATCTTCTAACCTTCTAACCTAAAGGGCCAGTCCATGATTTTTTTGAGGTTTCTATATCATTCTGTGCTTCCCAGTAGTGTTCCTTATATATTCAAATTCAAATTTTGTTGAAGTGCATATGTTTTAGCATGAAATGCTATTTTCCCAAGCCTTTGTGAAAACGTCTCCCCATAGAACCTGATGAGGTTTCTGCATGATGACACTGCTATATGTTAATCACCATAGCCTGCCTAATGTGGCTCTTCATGACTGAGGCCCTGTCGCCACATGACCTTTGCTTTGCAAAATATCTCTGTAAACACTAGAACATGCTTTGGACATTCGAAAGTTTTCCTTCTACTCCTCATCGACAGGAATCCCACTCTTAAATTGTCCCACTGTCTGCTTCATGTCACTTGCTTTGATTGAAAATGACTTGTAGCCTGTTGCTGCGTTGCTCACAGTGTGAAAACATTATTAGAAGGCGTTTAAAAAAATCTCTATTTTAGTGACCTATAAGAATGTTTGCGAGTGGATGAGGGGCCAATACATAGAGGAAAAAATACATTTTGAAAAATAATTGTATACGTGTAGACTGGGCCTCACCAGAATGGGAGCTAAGCGTTGTACTAAGCATTGTACTTTGTACTGCAATGCTACATTAGTTGAGACCCGAAAGTGGCACAATAACACAAACAAACTAAAAAAAAATCGAGGCAGCAGTAGACCAGCAGCTCCTGTGCTCTGCAAGGTAAAATAACCGTCTTCATCAAAGGAGTCCGTCTTTGAAGAGAGCAGAGATAACAGCCTCAGTTCCCTGCCGGAAAGGGCTCTGACGGCAATATAAAGCAGTGAAAATATTCTAAATATAGCGTACACTGAAACTGATGATTTTTTTTAGGTGGCTAAAATATGTTTTGCTGCTGCCCCCATCCAAAGCAGTTCATTGCTTAGCTTCTCTGTCAGTACTCCTGACTGCTTCTCCAAACTAGGAGCGTGCCGATCACCAGCTACTGTAGGTAATACACTGACTGTGTACAAATGCCTAATACAGCCCCACTGCAGTATCTGCACTATCCCTTTAAGTTATTATTGTCAGCACTCTAACGTACATTGCTGCTTTCTGCTAACGGCTGGGTGGGTGATTCCGTCTGAAAAACCTGGAAATGAACACAGATAGTCGACCTGTAAATATTGTTTCTCTTTGATCAAGCAGAAATACAAAACCTTGGCTTGTTGGAGCCTCCCTAATGTGAACATTTGCTACCTTTCTGTATTTTTTATCGCTGTAAATTCAACTATTTGTTGTTGATTTGACTGTCACATCTCATAAAAACACACATTTTGTATATAGATACAGAATATGTTTTTTGAAATTTGAGTCAACTAAAAAGCATCAAAACTGAACTGTCCTCCTCCTTTTCGTCATATCAGCATCATTTTCCAGGTAGCAAACGGGAAGCAGTGAAAATCTGAAGTGTATGAGTGGAAAAAGAGAAATGGAAAACCACTTTGGGGAGGCACAATAGAAGGCAGGCAGAGGAAAAGTGTCAATGTTTTACTTTGGTGTGTGAGGAATGGGAGGAAATGGAGTATTCACACTGCCAAAGCCTTAGTATTGTTTGTAACTGTGCCACTCTCAGTGTGCCTGGATGACATAATGTTTTACCAAATTAGTTTCTCATTTAATTGGCTGGCACAGTGCGGTGTGCTCATCGATGGGAAATCTCACCCCTGGCTGCCCACCTACAGTATTAGGCAAAAAAACAAGAGAAATATTTGGAATAGAGGGGTAGAGGATTTTTAAAGTATGCAAGGAAGCTCCAAGATAAACAAGTGACTCGCTGTATTTGGCTTCTAATCTGCTCTGCCTGCTTTGGGAGTTCCTGTCTTGCTGTCTTGGCAGACTCTCTCTGGGCTCCTCCCTTTCGGTTTTGGTTCTGATTTTTGTTCTTGTGTAATTTTTGTGTGTGTGTGTTTGTGTTTCAGCTCTGCTGGAGTTCAACCAGGCGGTGCTGGTGAGCAGAAAGGATCCAGAGTCGAGGAAAAAGGCCATCGCACAGGTCACAGAGAGGCTGACCTCCGACGGCTACTGGCCTCAGGTGAGATGTCACTCAGTGCTCTTACGTGTGACTCCTGTTCCCAGAAGATAATTTGCTGAGTCTTGTATTTGTTTTAAGGAAAGACAGATCATTTATCTGCTTCCATTTTGGCTGTAGTCTTGTTTACAGAACTGGCAATTACTTATCTATCCAGTCACATTTTGAAACAGTTACGGGAATGCCAGGAATGATCGCAGCTAGGCCTGTCATGATTAGGGTTGGGCCTGTGTAAAAAATTTCAGACCATTTTGATATTAAAACAGCAGGCTGGTACACCGAATTTCACCAGGTGTCACACTTGACTCAGCAGCCACTCCTGAGTGGCACATAACCAGTGTTAGACTATCTCGTTGCATAATATCAGAGCTCTCTGTCTCCACTGAATACTTAAATATGCACTTATGTTACGTCATGTAAGTAAACCATTGTGCACCACCGACGGTGCGCTTGCAATTAGACTGGAGACATAATCACTTTAAATATTGGTGAGTTGGCTACGTGCTATCTTCCTATGTTTGTTATGTGACTTTTGATAACAAAAAACACACATTTTATATTGTGATATTTACTGGAACAGACACCCAACAGCTAGCAGAATAGCTTGTTATTAGCGACGGTCATTTACCGTACCAGAAAAGTTGAGCTCTCTGGCAATCCTCCAGCTAACTGCGACCTTTTTTAGGTATACGGAGTGAAAAACGGACGTTTAGATAATTCCTCATTTCAATTTCATCACTCAGCCGTTCATCGTCAATTGCGGCGCTTTCAAAGCCAGCGACATGGACAAGAAAAGCTCAGCGCAAAATGGTACATCGCGTCATTTGCAGTGAGTAAGGAAACCTCTTTTGTCAGCCTCAAATCCTAAATGCTGATCTGTGTGGGTACATGAGACCCTAAAAAAGAGGGTGGGTCATGGGGAGTACCACCAGTTGGTCCAGGAGCTTCGCATCCATGATGGCTGTTTCCAGACATATCTTCCAGTCGTATAGCTCAGGGTAACCAGCAACAGCTACCACCAGTTTAGACTACAAAATGTAGGCTACTGGTAAGCTACGCTGTGCTGTCTTTTAAGTATTTTATTCTTTTCGGACTCTCACAAGTAGATGTGGATGGGCAGAAAAGAGAGAATCTCTGTGCTCTGGAAGACCTTGCTGTGTATTCTGGCATCATGTTGGCTAAAATGTTGGTGACATTCTTATGTAAACAAACATACATGCAAACACAACAGGCACTTAAATGATCAAGGTCATGTCAGCATATTGTACGATAAGCTGATAATAATGGTGACAGGCCTAACAACAACAACAGCAACAACAGTACAACGCCTACTGAAACAGTCTCTTCTTGTGGCGGCTTCAAAGATCTCAGCTCAAGCACACAGCTGATCAAGATTAGATAAAGTATTTGGGATTGGAACATGATCGTCAAGATTTGTAAAGAGGGGATCAGCACACTTTTCTGCTTCCAGGGAATACTTTCCTTGTTGAATCCTCTAACGACAGTTTGGAAATTGTGAAAACAACCTCAGGAAAAGAAGGAGTTCATATTAACGCTAGTGTATTTGTACATAACCACAGTGGGCAGATTGGCCTAAAGATTTATTGTCAATACAAGGTTGTTTGTTTGAATCTGACAGGCGGTGAATGTTGACTCAAAGCCTGTAAATTCACCTGCTGCTTGTGCTCAGAGCTGCAGGTCCGAACTCATAAATCTCATTTATTAACCTTTGCCTAGATGCTGATGTTTCCTGAGGGAACCACAACTAACGGCAGCGCTCTCATCAAATTCAAACCAGGTTAGTGCAAGCAGCGACCGCCCTCTGGTTTTTCTTGATGTCTGACTCATACCACACATTGTTCACCGCTTGTAAAAAATAGTTTAAGAATGAGTGGCATCACAGGGAAAAGGGCGCAGCAGCTGATTGTTTGTTTATTCGCAGATTAACTACTTTTAGACCTACAGCGTGACTCTGTCTCATTCCTGTCTGTCCACTCTGTCTCATTTGTTCTCGCTGTGTTCAGGTGCCTTCCTTGCCGGAGTCCCGGTCCAACCTGTTCTGTTGCATTACCCCAATAAGCTGGTGAGTGAAGTCATTGGGGTCGTGGGTCGATCTACTAGTTTCTAACAACATCCGCCTGTCACTCATGTCAAGAGCAAGACAGGGGTCCATTCATAACTTTACTCTAAAGGTGTTCTTTATCCAGGGTGACTAAGGAAGGAGTACACTCACATTTAAACTTGCATGCATTCAGTGAACGAAGAATCCAAAATTCGTGATAAATTGAAGTCATAGGGGACAGTTCAGTGGAGCATTTAGCTGCTAACGACCCTAATATTTCCCCCCCAGGAGTTGGCAGACTAAAAGAGTTAATTTTGGACAGGTCGACAGAAACATGACACCAAATGAATGATAATGTTGCTTTGCACCTGTTGAATCTGTAAAGAGACAACTGTTTTTCTGACCAAGCTCTTCATATCAACTTAAAAGGTGACAGTCTGTCAGTGTTGTTGTCACTGCTTTCTGCTTCTCCTAGGTGGCCAAAAAACAATTATTACAGGTTTAATAAATGCTTGATCCCACAAATGACATTTTGTATATCACTTGTCCACCCTGTGTTACACTGAATTCAGGAAGAAATGTTTTTCTCGCATGCTTCCATGGTGAACGAAGAATCCAAAAACTGAGAAATTCTTGTTGTATTGTTGTTGTGTTGTTTACAAACTCTCACACAATTCGGTCAGTATAATCCAAGTCTTATTTATCAAATTGTATGCTCATTACTTCACAGACAGATGGCCCGTTCTGATAAGGGAACTGAAATGAAAGTGAAACTTATGTATGCTCTCGTCAAAGACAGACTCTATTGATAAAAACAGTTATTTTACTTTGCTGAATACGAGAATTGCTGGTCAACTGCTGCCATGATCAGTTACTTTGTGTTATTGTGTGACTTTGGTGAATCTGAACTAACCCTTTAAAACACCAACGAGTCAGCATATAACTGGATAAATGACACTTATTTTATACTGCATGTGTTGTGAGAGTTGACGTGGACACTATGACTTAAATACATCAAGAATTTTCTCAATTTTTGGATTCTTCGTTCACTGTGGAGGCACGTGACCAAAACAAAGTTTACTTCATGAATTCAGTGTAACCAAGCGGCAAACTCTGAGGCTGAAAAATGAAGCCAGTGCCAAAACCTGCAGTTCCTCTAATGGCCACTTGAGGGTCGCACCAAAACAGAATTAGTCCCCACAGACTTGCATGTTAAAATGACCAAGTTTACAGCAGAAATAAACATGGTTACAGCCTGGTACAAAAAATAGTTTTGGTCTCTAAAGCGTCTAAACATTTATAACAACTGTAATGGGATGAATTAAAAAAAAAAAAAAACTCATCCATTTACACTTTATAAACGTCCAAAGTTACGCATTTTTTTGGGGCAGGGTTGCTTGAGTGACTGTCTGCAAGTCAGATCCACCCCTTGCTCCTCCACTGTACAAATACACTTCTGGCTCCAAAAAAAAACAAGATGCCGGTGCCGAAATGCCAAACTCGAGGCTTCAAAACGGCAGTCCACAAACCAATAGGTGACGTCACAGTAGCTAGGTCCATTATTCATTAGGGCTGTCAAAATTGCTCAGAAATGACATTCGAATATTCCTTCTAAAAATAACTCATAGGTTCGAACCATTCTAATTTTTTTTTTTTCTCATTATGTCCACAAGAGGGCAAACTAATACAAGGAAACATACTTTTATATGTATTAATACATTGAAACATAACTACTTGTAGTTTTTTTTATTTCAACATAAACGTCTTTGAAAACATTTACATACCTACACATTAAAACACATAAAACAATTATCTATAACATTACGTTATAAACAACCACGGACCTCTCTCTCGCCCCCCCTCTCCGACCCGTCAGGCCACACCGCTCGCGGAAGCGCTGCAAATAGCGCCGAGAAGCAAAGCCAGGTTACTTTCGGCGCCCATGTTAACCGATTTTGTCATCCACACTGGCTGCGCCGCGCCGCGCAGCTCCGTGGCTGGCTCTGGTCTATTTTCTGCGCGAGCGTATGTGTCAAGCCGGGTGACGGAGACAACAGCTGGGAGCAGAACCGCTTGTCGACCAGCATGGAGAAATGCGCGTCTGATGTGAACGGAAGTGCTCCGGCTCGTGCAAGAATTTAGGGGCGCTGCGCTTTGCAGCACCTCCGCGGGCGGTGTGGCCTTATGCAGTGCGTTCAGTGCAGCTGCCCAGGCCAATGCCCACTCGCAAAGAGGACAGCTGCGGTGGTGTTTTTTTTCCCCCTCCACAATCGAATATCAATTTTCACATTCAAAGGTCCATTTTTTTTTTTCAAATTTATATTTGAATTCAGAATATTCGTTGACAGCCCTATTATTCATACACTCTATGAATATAACACGGGATGAGTAATGGATATACAACTGGTCATTTGCAGGTGAAATATTCCTTTAATGTCCAGAAACTTCAAGAACAGACAATATTTCATTTTATACATAATTGAAAACCAGATAAAACAAATCTTTGTGTAATAAAAGTCTGGGGATGTTCTGCTGCTAAATTAAAAGTCACATATTGCATTTCTTAAGCATTTAAAATCAACAGAGTGCCTTACATAGACATTTAAAATGTGATTAAATAATTTAAACAAAAACAAAATGAAAACTGCCACAGACAAAATAAAGGCAGTTCTACCTTTATATTATATTAATAATCAAGGAGACTCAGTTATTAAGAGAGGGAATTAATTCCCAAACAACTAAAGGCACATTGCTTCATTACGTTTCTGAAATTAAAAAGCATTTACTGTGGTGACTAAATAAATAAAAACAAAACCAGACCAGAGGTTAACTCTGTGTGTGTCAGCACTTTGTTTACTGCATGTTAACAGATTGAAGTCCTACAGATATGACTTAAGATGTTAGAGATAATTTGACACAATAATAGATCAGACACTATGTCCTCAGGAGAACCTGCACTTATCCTCTCTTTAAAAGTTGCGCAACCTGAATCGGTATCATAGCGATGCACGTACAGAACATGCTTTGTTCTGTTTTGACATGCAGCTCAGCGCTCATTTGTATCTGTCATGTCTTCCTTGTCACGTCCTTGGCCACAGATCAGTGTTGACACTACACTATTGTACATTTCATCAGGCTGTAGTTTCTGTGCGTTTATGAGCATACTGCAGTATTTGTCTAGGCCAGTGTGTTTGCATACCAGTGCCTGTCAGGGTGTGTAATAGTGGGCGAAAGTGACTGGATTTACACATGCAATAAAAAACCTCCCCATCCAGTCTGTTAGGAAGGATAGGTTTGTTTCTGTTCCACCTGCTTGTGTCCACTGTTTGATTACAGTCTTTTTATGACTCTCCCACAGGATACTGTTCGCTGGACATACAAAGGAACAACCTGGTGAGTTCATCAGTCATCACCAGTATGACTGCCTGGATTTCTACAGGCAGGAAGTTCAGTAAGCTTGAAAATGGGTTTTAACAACTTCCAGGACTTTTTACTTTTTAAATTCTCACTTGTAGTCTGCTCAGTGACTTGAGTTTTCACCCTGAAAGACCCCATAACAAAACTTTTCAAGACATATTCTTAGTTGCCAGCGAAGGAACACAGCTGTTACAGTATGTTTTCTCCTCTTGGAGGCTAAATGAGCTAATTACCAGAAACATCTCTCTGGTGTAACACAATACAGCTGAGTAGTACCACAAACTGTAGCCTCCAAAATGACCATATAGCTGAATCAACACCAAAATCACTGTAAACAAAAACTGAGTGTTATAACCACCATGAAGGATTTATCGCAAGACTGCACTGGTTTAACTACAGTAGGTGTACCTAATAAACTGACACATCAAAGGTCCAGTGTGTAGGCTTAAGGATGATGCAGAATATAATACATTAAGTGTGTTTTCTTTTGTGTGAAATCACCTGACATTAAGAATTGTTGTTACTTTAGAAGTAGCTGTTAATACCTACATAAGGAGTGGGTCCTTATTCATGGAGTCTGCCATGTTGCACCGCCATGTTTCTACAGTAGTGCAGGACAGACAAACCAAACACTGGCTTTACTGTATATAGGGCCATTGTGTTTTCGTGTCAGCCACCGTAGTTAGCAGCCCCTCCATGATCAGCCGAACAGCTTTGGGAAAAAACACAGATTTTTAATATGAGTGTTTTCACTGGTTTAAATCACCTAGTCTGTTTTTGTTTTTTGTTTTTTTTTTGGAGAGGAAGAGACCTTTGCGGATAATTTGTCTCCTGGTAAAAAGCCTCCTGAACACCGTTATATGCCATTAAATCCTACACACTGCTCGCTTCAGAAGAAGTTTGTGTAATGCAAAAGTTTAGTTCCCTCTAGCTAGTGTTGGGTAACACAACAATATATGCAACACTACCACACTACTTGTACTGCGGTAGCTATTTAATATTTTAATATCTCCTCAGTATATCGGCCGTATGTGGGCAATGCTGCAAAGTACTACCTGCTTTATGGTTGTATTGCTAAAAAAAAAAAAAAAAAAATTGTATCAATGCACTTTGATCAGTCAGGTGTATAATTTGCTGGATTTCGGTTATTTTATACCATTAAAGATTTTTCAATAGACTTTCCAGAAAGTTATATATATCAAAATCAAATTATATACCACAACAGAAATTTTCATCCACATTGCCCACCCCAAACCTCGAGCAAATTTACTGCTTTGCTGGTTTTCTGAATCAAGGGTTAAACTAAATATCAAATTGTTAATAATCTTTGATGAGGCCTGTTGACATGAGTGCAGTTAGTGCAACTCAAACTTCAGCAAAAGAAACATCAAGAAATCATTAGGGAATAAGTGGACATCATTGTTATCATAAGTTTTAAGGGTTATTATTAAATTGTATCAAGGTTTAAACATCTCAGTGGTAGCAGTTACGCACACTGATAGTACTGACTTTTCTGTCTGAAATATAACATTGTCTCTTTGTCTGATAGGGTTGAGTCACTGTGGCACACGACTTCACAGTTCTACACCAACAGTACTATCGAGGTAAGATAGTTCACCACATAATCTACCTGACAGTAATGACAATGATAAGGAAGGGACAGTTCACTCATAATCAAAAACACATATTTTCACTCTTACCTGTAGTGCTATATATCAACCTAGATTTTTTTGGTGTGCGATGCAGAGTGTTTAAGATACCGACTGTAGAGATGTCTGCCTTTTCGCAAGTATAATGGAACTCAGAGCGCCAAAAAATCAATTGAAAAACTCAACAGCAATGTCTCTTTACAGAAGTCATGACCTGGTTACTAGTGATGGCCAAATGAGGCCTCATGAACCACTGTCTTTATTTTCTGAAGCCACCAGATGGCGCTGTCTGTTAAACAAAGGTTTGAAAGCACACTTCATTGCAGGTCCTTCAGCCTTTATCTTTAAACCAAGAGCGCCATCTGGTGGGGTCAGAAAATAAAGAAAGTGGTTCATGAGGCTTCATTTGGCCATCACTACTGGTCAACTTTTTTTACATTTGTTTTTCTGGAGCTTTGAGCACCACAAGCCGAGTTCCATTATATTGGAAAGAAGGCAGACATCTCTACAGCTGATATCTCCAACTCTCAGCAACTCACACCAAAACAATCTAGACTGATAAATAGCACTACAGGTAAGAGGGAGAATATGTGTTTTTGATTTTTGGGTGAACTGTCCCTTTAACTTAGCACATGCTTAAAGTGTGTCTTTTGACCTGCAGTCGAGGTTCATGCAGCAATGTACTCAGGGTGTGTTCAGTACATGCTGACAACACTGTTGGGTGCATTAACAGGTGTAGCATGACTAATCATGTTCCAAGGGGTGTGAACAGAGGTGTTAAACATTTTTCAGACAGGAGAGATCAGTGCTTTTTGGCTTGATGTGAAGCTATGTTTTAAATGTTTTGCATGTGTGAGTATTAAAAATCTGGTGTGTGTTTTGCTGCTGTGAATAAAAGGGAAAGAAAACAATGGCTCTTTTTTTGCTGTGCCGCAGTTCCTGCCAGTTTATAACCCGTCCCAGGAGGAGAAGAACGACCCCAACCTGTATGCAGACAATGTTCAGAAACTCATGGCCAAGTAAGTAGCCGAATATGCAGTTGTTTTTATGCCTCCGTGTGGGTGATAACCATCCGTCCCATTCTCATGAACGTCTCGAGGGAACTTCTTCACATTTGGCACAAACATCCACTTGGATTCAACATTGAACTAATTAGATTTTGGTTGTCTAAGGTCAATGTCACTATTTCCTTGCATCTATCTGATTCTTGGGAACGCGATATTTTAAGAACGCCTCGAGGGATTTTCTTCCAATTTAGTACAAACATCTACTGGGATTCAACATTGAACTAATTAGATTTAGGTTGTCAAAGGTCAGTGTCACTGTTTCCTTGCATAAGTCTCATTCTTATGAACGGGATATTTCAAGAACGCCTCGAGGGAACTTCTTAACATTGGCACAAACATCCACTTGGATTCAACATTGAATTAATTAGATTTTTGGCTGTCAAAGGTCAGTGTCACTATTTCCTTGCATCNGGCACAAACATCCACTTGGATTCAACATTGAATTAATTAGATTTTTGGCTGTCAAAGGTCAGTGTCACTATTTCCTTGCATCTATTTCATTCTTGTGAACGCGATATTTCAAGAACGCCTCAAGGGATTTTCTTCAAATTTAGCACAAACATCTACTTGGATTCAACAATGAATTTATTAGATTTAGGTTGTCAAAGGTCAGTGTCCCTATTTCCTTGCATAAATCTCATTCTTATGAATGCGATATTTCAAGAATGCCTCGAGGGAACTTCTTAACATTGGCACAAACATCCACTTGGACTCAACAATGAATTAATTAGATTTTTTGCTGTCAGAGGCCACTATTTCCTTGCATCTATTTCATTCTTGTGAACGCGATATTTCAAGAATGCCTCGAGGGATTTTCCTCAAATTTAGCACAAACACCCACTTGGATTCAAGAATGAACTATGTAGAATTTGGTTGTTGAAGGTCAAAGGTCAAGGTCACTGTGACCTCACGAATCACGTTTTTGGCCAAAATTCAAGAATTCATACACTAATTATGAAAAAAAACTTACCTGAAATGTTGAATAGCATAAAATGAAGAAGTGATGGCTCTGCAAAAACACGACAGTTTTTCATTGTCATATCTAAACTAAATCTGTGGTACACTACTTTTTCTAGTGGTGTGAATAGTAGCAGCAACATATAGATATAGATATACATATTAGTTCTTTCAGAAGTCCATTGTGTACTGTTCAGCAACATTCAGATAGATAGACAACCATAAGAACGATGTGTCTCTTAATGCATTTCTCTGCTGTGCCTCAGGGCCCTCGGAGTCCCAGCTACAGATTATGTGATGGAGGGAAGAGTTCCTGTCAGTAAGCTCGGTGGTCTCTCTGTCCCATTGGAGTCGCCCGCCAGAGAAACACTGTCGCTGCTACACAGAAACGGGTAAGAGAGAAGATGTGTGTTCATGTTTGGCTCCTGGCCTCAGTACTCTCCTCTTTTCTCACCATCCTCGTCTCTTTCTCTCTTTCAGCCTGGGAGCGCATGAAGTGAAAGCAGCACTGGACAGAATGATTGACAGGTGTCAGTCAGGAGCTCAGGGGTCAAAGGCCAGTGCAGAGGAGCTCGCCTCTATCCTCGGGCTGACGGATGAACAGACGGCCGTCACCATCTGTGGCCTCTACTCCAAGGTAGAATCAGATTCTGTGTGTGTGTGTGTGTGTGTGTGTGTGTGTGTGTGTGTGTGTGTGTGTCTTCTACCAGTAACTGCAGAAGACGTTGAGATGTTGAGATGGCTATTATCCACAACATTGTTCTGTTTATTCAGAGGGAACAAAGCAGTTTATCACACAGTGAATCCTTGAATGTTCTACCACTTGTTGATCAGTTTTAAATGCCAGTAAAACACCTCTACAGTGATATAGAGTAGAGTAGAAAATACCTATTGAAAAAAAAAGCACCAAAATAAATAAACCGTGTCCTAAACCTGTCATACTATGTGTGTGTTTTTTTTCTAGGATGAAACTGTGGACCTGAGGCAGATCTATTTGAGTGTTGCAGCTCTGTCAGGATTCGTCAGCTTCAAGTCACTACTTCACACTGCTTTCACTGTGAGTCCTTTGGTTTCCTCACAGCATTTGCTTTCATTTCTTGTTTCATCTTCTAAATGCAGACAACCTCTCTTATTTACTGAAGTTCAATATCTTTTAAACTTTCTTTTCTAAACGCACTGTCTTTGTCTCCCAGCTGTTTGACAGAGAGGGCCGAGGCAGTCTGAGTGCAGAGGCGCTGTCGGGCCTCATGGGGGCGCTGCTGGGCATCCCTCAGCGCAACACTGCAGATCTCTACGCTCAGGCATCCAGCGATGGCCAGCTTACTGAGGGTGAGTGTCTCTGAGGGGATTTTAGGACACTTACAATCTATATTGAAAGATTATTAAAACAACTTGGAATGGAAAGTGTCACATTTTATCTGTATTCAATAACAGAACAGTGCATCTTGCAGCGGATGAGTTTTCCTGATATTTTTAGGAACTGTTGTATATAATTGTCATTCTTAATATTTAATAGGCTTCTCCTTTAACAATTCAGAGTTTATAAGCTCTTTGGTTGTTTTAACTATGTACTTGTCTAATGCAGGATGAAACTGTGCCCTTATCCTGTGACATTTTTATTAGCTTATATATCGATTAATAATCTAAACTTGAAAAAAACATACTATTTCATTTAGTTTTCCTCACAGCAGTTAATTAAATGCTGAGTCATAGGCCTACTGTGTATAAATCTTTTAAAACTTTAAAATCCTTAAAATGAAGACTTGAATCAAGTATTTCTGATTGTGTCAGATGTTGTTAGTTACTTGATGGAGCAAAAAGGTAACTGACTTAGGTAACTGATTCAAATCCTCATTAAATGTTTTCCATAGACAATCTGCTGCGGGTGCTGACGACCCACCCCACCTATCAGAGAGTGGTGAACGAGTACATGCAGCCCGAGGAGTCGGGCTCCACGCTGGCCAACGGGAAGGCTGTGAACAACAACAGAGACGTGCACAACGGCAACAGATCCCTCCACTACAACAAGAAGTTTGAATGAGGAGTTTTACAGGACGTTCAGTCGAGTTTGTACTCGTCGATTGACAAAGGATTGTATTTTTTACGTCTGGTGCATGTGTGAGTGTGTTTAAATGTATGAATGTATTTTTAAAACTACGTTACTGTAAAACTTTTACCGCAGTCGACCACGCTAAAATTGTAAAACCAAAGAATACTTAAGTTATGACGACAGCGGCTCTCTGAAGTGCGTACCAGTTTACCTTTTTTAATGACACAAAAGATTGCTCCGTTACTCTTGTCATTTTAAGCCATAAAATGTCTCATGTAAATGATTCCCTCTTGTGTGTGTTAAATGTTTTTTAAACGGGACAAAGGTATGTGCAAAACAAACTCTGTAAAGCCAAAAAGTTTATTTTATGTCAATGAATTCTCACATTTGTGTGTTTATATTTTTTGTATTTAACATTTGATTAAACTGTGAATTCTTTTTAAGGAGTTTTCGTTGTGGTCTCATTTCTGGACTTGTCAACATACAACATACCTCTTCCAACCTTCCTGTTCCTCTTATCAAGCTGTTGTGTGTTTGTGTTGGTTTTGCCCGAGATAAAGTCTTTACACTTTGTGGGTAACTTTTTGGAAAGCTGAGTTGGTCTTCTACGAGGAAAACGTAGGCTGTGGGCTTTTTTACGGCTTGTTCTGGTTTCTATCTTGCTGCTTTCATCCTCTTTAAAAGATTCTTGTCCGACTGATACATTTGAAATCTTTCCATCCAAAGCCCTCGTGCTGCTTCTTGTTGAGGGTGGACTTGGTTTAGATGTTTCAGCCTTGTCCTGTGCCTCGTCTTTGTCTCGCAGATGCTCTCTGCTTTTCTTTTTTGAAGTTTTTGCCCTTCTTCTCTCTCTGTGTCTACCTCCTCTCTGCTCTTCCACCTTCCTCTTTTCATCGGGCTTGTTTCAGCCTCCTTCACCCTCGTCTCCCTCTCTTCAGAAGCAACACGTTCATGCTTGTATCTCTTCATTGGAGTCGACAGAAGGCTCAGGCATTTTGCTCCTTCTCCATTTATTCTTTCATCTTTCACATCTGCTGTTGCTTTGGGGTTTGATGGTTGATGTGTCTCTTCGGCTGCCTCACTCTCTTGAATCCCTTTCTTACTATTTACCGTCCTGTTCGACACATTTTGTGACCTTAAGCTGTAGAAGTCCCAAGTTTCAGTCCCTGTGACTTCACCGCATCGTCTGTAAGCTCCACTTCCATTTAATGCAACTGTTTTGTTCTGTTGTTGGGTCTCCGAACTCAGATCAAAGGTTGAATTTGGGTTTTTCTTACAGGTTTTCACAAAGGGTGACTTGCTTCTCTCGTCTCTCGACACTCTTGTTGAACAAGTGCCTGTCTGAACCTTTGGACTCTGCTGAGAAGATTCAGGCAGAGAGACCTTGTCCTTGTTGGTCTTGCATCCTGGTGAATTTGTGTCACTAGCATTGTCGCTCTTCTCCTTACTCTTCTCTTTATCTCTCCTCTTTCTGCTTCTTTTCATTGGACTTAAACTCATCATTTCTGTGCCAGTCTCCACTGTCTCCTTTGCCCTCGTCATACCCTCATCGTTGACTCCGATGTATCTCTTCACTGGAGTCGACATAACGCTCAGGCGTTTTGCCCCTTCTCCATTTATTCCTTCATCTTTCATTTCTGCTGTTGCTTTGGGGTTTGATGGTTGATCTGTCACCTCGCTTGCCTCGCTTTTTTGAATCAATGTCCTATTATGTTCTGTCCTTCTCAATCCATTTTGTGACCTTGAGCTGTCAAAGTCCCAAGTTTCCGATCCCCTGACTTTAATCTGTCGGGCCTCTGGGCTCAGAGCGAGGGTTAGATTTGGGATTTTCTCACAGGTTTTCACAGAAGGTGACTCACGTATGTCATCCAGTGATCCCTCCTCTGGTGACTCTTTTGTTGGATGAGAATCCATCTGAACTTTTGGACTCTGCAGAGAAGATTCAGGTAGAAAAACCTTGTTCTCGTTGGTCTTGCATCCTGAAGAATTTGTGTTATTAACATCATAGGCCTTCTCCTTACTATCCTTCGTATCTCCCCTGTTTCTGCTTCTTTTCATTGGACTTGAAACCAGCAGAGTCGGTGAGTCAGTGTCACCCTCCTTCCTCCTTCGCAAGGACTTGATCTCACCCTTAGCAGCAGGAAGAGGCAGCACCTTTTCCTTGGTCGTCATGCTCCGAGTTCTTCTCCTTAAAAAACTGGACATTTGCATCCCCTCCTTGTTTCTTTCCCCCTCACTCAACTTTTTCTCCTCTTGTGGGATGTGGGTTAAAGCATCATTTTCTGCTCTAGTGTCAGTGCTCACACTGGGGTTTTTCGCCTCACTCTGTTCCCCTTCCTCCACTTTGAGTTTCTGCATCTCTCCTGAGAGCTCTTGATGTTCCTTCTCTCCAATCTCTGAAAATTGCTCGGCTGCTGTTTTTGTTGTATGTCCCCGCTCTTCAAAATTGCTCTCCTCTCTTTTAAATAATTGCCTTTCTCCGGAGGACCGTCTCCTCTGTTTTTCGTACAAGCTCTCCGGAGTGTTTTTTGCTGTTTTCTTGGAACTCCTTTTGCTGGGTTTCTTCTCCTCTACTCTCTCTGTTGTGAATTCACCAATTAATCTTGCTTTCTCTATACCTGACAGCCTCTGACTGCGTCTTGTTTTTGTCATTCCCTTGAGATTGGTCTTATTGTCTTTACTCTCCTCCTTCCCTTCAAAAGTCATATTAGTCATCTCTTCTTCTCTTGCTTTAGTAACTGTTTGCTTTTGCATCGCAATGTCTTTTCGCTCCGTTTCACCCTGCTGTCCTGCCCTGAGTTCAGAGGATGCTAACACTTTGGACACTTGCAAATCTTTTGGTGGCTCTACTGTCAGTTTTCCTGGCGCCGAAGCCGATGAATCGCCATCAACTGGGATATCACAAGGGTCTGCATAGGAATCTGCCACAAAGGATGAATCGGCTGGCACAGGAATTGCCTCCAGGTAAGAGTTGATGTTTTGGGGGCAGCATTGTTCCTCAAGAGGTGCTTTCAAAGCCGGGACATTCAGAGCTGGACAGCCGGCTGACTTTGGTGAGGTGGCAGCCAACGAATCGGCTCTGAAACTAGGTGCAGGATCCTTGAGGACAGTGGTACGAGGGTCCTTTTTTGACCCTGAATCACTGGAGGTTGAGCGGGACTCAAAGGCAAGAGAATTCTCAGATAGAGGTCCTTCCTGAAGTTTTTGGGACATCTGAGCTGACTGTGCGTTCCCAAGGTTTGGGAGGGATGTTGAGGCATCTTTTGACTCATCCTCTGTGGGTGCAAGTTCTATTACCAACGCATAATTGTCTCTGGCCTCGAAATCAGAGGCAAGGCTGGTATTTGGGGAGGTATCCGCAAGCAACCGCAGAGACGAAATAATGCAGTCCATCAGGGAGCCATTGGGATACAGAGGAGATGTGGCATTAACAGGGTTATCGGTTGGCAGTGGATCCAAAATGGGCGCTTGAGCTCTTGGGAGCAGCGCAGGTTCCTCAACAAGCAAAGTCGCCAGGAGTATTTCTTCGGTTACAGTAGTGATGCAGTTGAAGTTGGCAGGAGGTCGACATGATAGCTGCTGCTGGATCATATCCGTGAGCTGTTGACCAAGAGAAAAACAAAAATAAGAAATTACTTTATTGGCCTTTTTATCCGTTATAACACAGCAACAAGTCACGGCTACAAAAATTTTGTTATCATATTACCTCTTGTAAAAGAGCCAGTGACTCTGTGTTTGGTGTAGACCCCAACTGAGAGAAAGAAGAAATTAAAGAGGCACTACAGCAGTTTTTAATTTCACTTTCATAAATTTGGGGAGCTTTTGAGGGACAGAGTTAAAAAGCAATCTCTAATAAACAGAGGCTGAGCTATTATTTTATTCATTAATTTGAGTCACATCCCAAAACCCTGTATTCTACACCGAATGACTTTCACTGTCGCAGACACATTTCCAATGTTGGAATTAAATCTGGTGGTCATAGGTCAAGGTCAAGGTGGTCATAAAACTCAGTCCAAGCTGTCTTAAGTCAAGTCTTTTTCTCGTTTTGATGTTCCAACAAAATCGAACATGTTTAATATTGTAAGTTTTTAGTCTAAGCTCATGCAAATATTGAAGAACTGCTGCAACACTAGACAGGAAGCAGCAAACCAGGTAGACGGTAAACACGAAGGGGACTCAAGGGAGGCGCAAGAACGTGAACAAGTCTTGGTTCTGTTGTACTGTGGAAAAGGAGGACAAACTGGTGGAGCTGTGGAGTGAGCAAGAGTCAGTTTTTAATTCGGTGTATGTGATCCACCAATCAGCACTTATTTTAGTGAGGAATCTTAATTTTTGAAGTCGTTTGACTCTCATTCCCACGTTCTACTCCCACTAAACCAACGGAGACCGGTAGCAAGTTGAGGTGACAAAATCCATAATGTAGTGTTTGTATGTTAATACAATTTATCCATCTGGATTATACTGATGCCAAACTGACAAGGATATTCTCAGTATGATGAAGTTTGGTACCATTTTCCACTAAATCATCTCAAAAAAGAATCTAGTTGTAGTCTTGCAAATAGCGACCCTGCAAGATCCCTAATCTTTTCATATAATGAATGATTAAAACATTGTCACATTGTCTTTAGATGTGAAAGGGTGTCAGAGTTCAGGCTTCCAAAAGTTTTTTACAAGTCTTGTAGACACTAGGCAGGGATTAGATAAAGTTATTAACATAGTCCTTAAGAGGAATATTTAGTATCTTTTCATCCAACAGTGAGATATTAAAACATAGAGCTGATTATTTGCTTTTGACCCCTCACCCCTATAATGACATGAGTAGCCGGCAACAGATGGGAAATGTGGCGTCACTTACTGGACTGATATTGGCGTCCGCAGAACGCTGATGCTCCTGAAATGTCATCTGCAAAAACAAAACTCACATTAGTATTTTTAAAATGCTGAAACTAGCTTGATCTTCTAGTCCTGGATCAACCTCCTGCTCACAAGGCAACAGAACACAACATTTACAGTGATGACTATCATGTGTTATCACCTCTTGTCGTTCCTCCAGTGGAAGAAGGTCACTGGGCTCTGGTTCTGTAGAAAGGAGGGAGTCCAGGTAGTCTGTGTCCAGTATCAGCTCCACCTGAGGGACGGAGATGAGCAGTGATTGAGACGCAGTGAGAGTAAGACATTTTCTTTCACTTAATACACAGTAGTTACTCATGAATTGACGTTTGTTTTTCCTTCAACAACAAACACACGTGGTTAGGTTCAGGAAAAAAGAACAGGGTTTGGCTTAAGGATCTTACAAGACACAAACGCTGCTCTCTAGGGTGAAAGTCTGTGTTTGTTTTACCCTCTCGCCCGCCCCAGTTGGACTTTGGCCACCTTAACTTTAGTTCTTGTCCCACCATATTTTCCACCGGGCAGCGTTAAACTATAACTGCAACCGGCCGGATATCATGCCAATGTTAATGGACGCCATTTTCCATTGGTTTCTGATGCTGCCCAAGCACCGGATTTCCAAGACTTCGAAATGAGATCCTGTTGCAGTGGGATTCAATGTATGTAAGTTAACGAAATGCTTGAAAACGCAACAAACATATTGATGGGATAACAGTTGACATATCCTGTTAATGCCACTGATAACTTACGTCTCTGACAAAGTCCTCATCACTGCATAGTTCATCCAGATATTCAAAAAAGGGGCCACTTTCTATCTCTGGTCTCATCTCTTTATCTTCCTCATTTTCATTTTGTTCGACCTTCACGCTCTCCTGGATCTGAGGGAAGCCAGAACAAAGATTTAGGTGGTAACAGTGCATTAATTTTGCAGTAAGACATTATTTGGGACAGTTTTGTTCCATGGTAGCCTGTAATCCGTAAGATTTCCAATGTATACAAATTTACAAAACATTTAAATTTTTGGTACCTTTGAAAACATTTAGTAAATGGAAGATGAAGTTATCTATCTCCTACGTGTGTTTCTAAAAGTAATCATCTTTTTCCTCCCATATTTTGTCTTTGAAAAATAGTAGCCGACCTTGGGACTGATGGAGTCCAAGATCATCATGTACTCCTCATAGGCGAGTTCTGCCAGTGATACTTTGTCCAAACAGAGTAGAGATCCCATGTCCCATATATCATATTCGTTGTTTCCTTGTAGTCTATCCCTGTCGGTTGTGTAATTCTTCTGATGTTCTTCTATTGGGAAAGACAGTAAAAGGATTTTAAAAAAGGTAGAGAATAGGCACAAAACATCAGTTACAACCATTTTCATTTGCGTACACGCTCAGTTACAGTGCTAAGATGCTAATTTTTAGCAGTTGTTATGTTAAAGGGACCTCAGAATTTAAAAATACATATTTTCCTCCTGTCTGTAGTGCTGTTTGTCAATCTAGATTGTTTTGGTGTGAGTTGCCGAGTGTTGGCGATAACGGCCATAGAGATGTCTGACTTCTCTTGAATATAATGGAACTAGATGGCACTCAGCTTGTGGTGCTCAAAGCTCTGGAAAAATACATTTGAAAAACTCAACAGCAATGTCTCTTTCCAGAAATCATGACCTGGTTACTCAAGATAATCCACAGACCTTGTTGTGAGCAGTTTCATGTAGGAATTATTTTCTTTCTACCGAACTACACCCACCAACTGTATCACCGTGCAGAAGGAAGAGTGCATCTACTCATGGATGTGAAAGTACGAGATGTAAACATTAATGGTGTCCTCCTCACTTATTTTTGCTTAATTTTTTGCTGAGTTTGTTGTTCTTTTTTTGGATTTTTTTTCCGGATAATTTCTATTTGCTTAATTGTAGTTTTCTTGTTTGTTTTTGTTCTTTTTTACTTTTCTTTTTGGATTACTTTGGGTGCAGTTCCTTAGTTAATAGTTACTTTGAATCCTGAACAAAGTGGTTTGACTTCTTTAGGAAAAAATGGTGGAAAAAAGGAAAGAACTGTTCCACAAATTGCAGGAAATAAGTAAAACGGTGACAAGAAAATGACCAAAAAAATTGTAAAAAGAGAAAAAAAGTAAATAGATTAATTAAACAAAACTTAAATTAGCTTAAATTATTTAACTTTTAAAATTATGTAACAGAAAATAAATATAATAAATAAATATGAATTCAATAAATAAATAAATAGAAATTAGAAATAGAAAATAGAAAAAATGTAAATACGTATTCAATTTAATTTCTAGATTTTTTAAAGGAAATTTTCTTTTCTTTTTTGCTTATTTTCACATTAGTTTCTTGTCTGCTTCTGTTCTTTTTTTAACTTTTCTTTTTTGGCTTATTCTCAGGTAATTTCTTCGTTAATAGAGTTACTTCCTGTAACTTTAAAATCTTACTGATTTTCAGGCCATTTCTTGAGTTGCTCATTGAAATCAAGCCCATTTATTTAGGTTTCAAAGGGATAAAGTCAGAGGGATTCATCCTCTGGAGTAAAGTGGTGGTCCTGGCTAAAAATTGACCTCCATGTCCCCTCCTTGTCAGTCTATACAAATCCTTGACCTCTGACCTTCTGACTCGGCCTGCTCTTGAATCTGCCCTCCTGATTCAATGACCTGCTGAGTCGTTCTCCACACCCTGGGGTCAAGATAATGAAGTCAGATACAGTATCACAGGTGTTTGTAAATGCACTATAATGTAGTCTGCTGTGTGTCCCTCACAGGTCTGGACTCCAGGGCTGCTGGACGGGCACTGCCAGTGGACAAACGCACCAGCTGGGATAAACCTCAGGCATGAGGAGCTGAGAACAAGGAGGTGAACTGCTGTAGAAGAACTCTGTCGGGCTGCTGATGGGAACCCAATTACTGGGACGAAAAGCAAACGTGGAGTTTAGCGTGGAGGTGACGGGGCTCATGTTGAGCCAGCAGGAGTCTTGTGGAAAACAGGGGGTGACTATGAGGTCTCGTAGCAGGGGTGAAGTCTGGAGGCTGGGCGGAGAGGGACAAACACCTGGCAGGACGTTCAGGACGTTCAGGACATGGGGTTGGATCAGGCTCTGGATCACATGCTGCACACATTGCTGGTTTAAGTCCCAGAGTGTCCATGACGTGTCTTCTCTTTGATCAGTGCTCCACTGGGGCATCTCTGCAACTCTCATCAACATAGATTCATACGTCATGAGATGAGGTCCTGATGAAAACTGTTCAACTCGGCTGATGATTTCACAGCACGTCTCTGACAGCGAGTGAAGGTCTACTTCCTCTTGTGAAGCGGAAAGCAGTAGGTGATAATGTGGGGAGGAATTAGATAAGGACACGGATCCCGACTGAGTGCAATCAGGCTCTTCTCTGTCATTTAGAGATCTCAGGCTGGGAAACATCCTTAATCTCCGTACGTCTGCGGCTTGAAGCTATCAGAGGAAAGTGAGATATTAATCCCAGCAGCTCTAACAGCAAAGACATCATGACACAAACCACATGTGAGAACCGTATGTTTATTTAAAATGTCTTCAAAGCTCCAGCAGTGTTTCAGAGTATTTCATAATACTATCCTCTCTGCAATCACCAGAGCAGCTGCTCAGAGTGAGCTCAGTTTGCTTCAGGGCAGGAAAATAAAGGGTTTCTTTTAACTGCCTGAGAGCTACTGGGAGAAAAATCTAGCAAAATGAACCAAAAATCAGCTGTGACCAAAAGTTAGGCTACTTAAAGTTGGGATTGTTTTGTCAGATTACTGTGTTAATTTCACGGCTATAACAATAAACTTTAATGTTGTGGATCCTGGGTCTTCATCATGATGAATAGTTTAGTTTATCTGCTCTCACTGTCGAGCACACATGCTTTCTGTGAGATTCTGGAGTCATCAGGCTCATTTTGTCCCTGATTTATACAGTATTTGTCATATATCTTGATTTAAACAGTTTTTAAATGATTGACAGAATGAATAGTTTCCATTAAATGACATTTACACTACATAAGCTACTAAAACATTGTATGCAGGTGCCTGTCATCAACAAGTCACACTTATGTCAACACTTCTGCAAACCTTCGAAGCCAGATGACAGCTCTGTAACTCTGTCCATAAACTATTATTTTAACTATCAGAGACAAATAGGAGCTAAACATTGTAAGGCAATCAAATATTTTCATAGTGCTTACCATTCATGTAGGTGCTGATTATTCCTCAGTCAGTACAATCAGTTTGCATGTGCTGTAAGTTTGAAAATCAACATAAACTGGACTCAGGCTGATTTGTTTTCTTACGACTGAAAGTTCTGTTCATGTTAACATTTAAACTTCATACAGGCTTGTCAGTGAAAATCTACTTCTGTTTAAAAATATAATTATTTATTTATTTTTTACAGTATTGCTCCTGTATTTTAAAGTGTGTGCACTGATTCAAATGGCAACCATTTTTTTATTCTCACGTTTGTGTTCAGGAAGCTAACTTCTTATTGTTTAACTTATTTACTTATATGTGTTTAATGTATGAAGTGGCACAAAATGCACATGTGGTTGTAATGATGAAAGTTATTGATGTGCCAGGTGATATTTAATTCTCACTTTTTTTTTTTTTTACTGTTTTGTTGCGTAGATAAAAAATTTTAAAAATGCATTTTAGAGAATTCTGCTTATATTAAAAATAAAAATATTATAGGCTGTTTTTTAAATATAATATTACGTGTGAAAAGCACCATACGTAGGTCACGTGATGACAACTGACCATCTCCATAGCAACTGGGCAAACTTCATCCTGGTGAAGACCACACATGTGGCTGAAAGCTCCAGAAAGTGGAGTTTTGGTTAATAACTTCTATTTCCAAACTCAAGAACAAACCCTCACACTCAAAGCGTTTTATTTTTCTCACATACAACTCGGAAATTTCGCTTTGGGGCGTTTAACACGCTATTATATTATAAAACACAATTTCCCAGGATGCCGAGCGCCCTAAACTCTACACCGGATATCCGCTTTGCTCTGCGCGAGGAGAAACTCCGCCGCACGTGGATTTCAGAAGAAAAAAAGCGTGTTACCTGCAACTTGTGTGATTTTGTCGCTATAAAACAACCTCGTCGACATATTTTGAAGCTTTAAAACAAGTTATCGTCGAGATGTTTCTGCAGTTTTACCTGAATGAGAACGGAGACAGAGTCTACACTCTGAAGGTAACGTTAGCGTTGTGTTTACATCCTCCAACTTTACTCTGTTTTAATACAGTTTACTTCCTTTGTAAAGTAGTTTCACCTCAGTTTAAATATGCTCTGGCTCTTATTTTAAGAAATAAAACTCATTCCTCGAGCTTTAAATGAACGTTGATACACGTTATTTTGAGATTAGCTAGTCAGCTAGCAGCTAGCTATCTTGTTAAAATCAAACACAAACGTGAATAAAACGGTGAGGGCTTTTAAAACTTATCACAATCGATATCATCAGACAGTGTTGTCTTTAATAAGGTAAAAAGTATTAAATGAAATGAGCCAAAGCTGACAGAAAAGTCGGGTTGCAACTGAAAGTTATTTTAATTTTGTTTGCATGTCTAAACATCCATATAAATACACACTACAAGCTAACAGAAACCATGTTTAGCTCTATTAAAAAAAAAAAAAAAGCTGCCTGTCATATAATCTGTAAAACATGCTACATATGTCAGTTCCATGATATAAATATGATAGGCTCTGGGAATACATTGATATCTCCACAGCATCCTGTACTTTTTAATCAATTTATAATCAGATTCTTCTTCATGCCATCACATAAGGATTTCTCACATGGTTTTAGAGCTGAGGCAAACAACTATGACTGAAATAAAGACCCACATTGCAAACATCACAAAAACTTTGAAGTCAGATGTTGAAGTTGTCATAATTAACACAACACACACACACACACACACACAAGCTTGGCATATAATTTATTGCTACATTACAGACTTAATGGAAGTTATTACATGCAGAGTAAGTTATTGTAATTACAGAACAACACGAGAGCAGAAACAAATTGTTGACTGATACACTTAATCGATAACATTTTAATGTAATCAATTAGTTGTTTGAATCAATTGTTGGGCAAAAATGCCAAACATTCTGTGTTTCTAGCAGTTTTTTCTTTGTTTTATGTCATTTCAAATAAACTATTTTGGGGTTTTGGCCTGTTGGTCTTCAAAAATTAAATAAATAAATAAAATTTGGGGGAAAAAGGGGATTTGAAGAGTTTGTGAAAGGCACATGTGGCTATTTTCTCAAGATTTATATAATAAACTATTAGTAGCCCCTTTTAAACAGGAATTGTGCAAATTTGCAGGAAAGCCCAATCAGTCTTTTTTCAGCATTGGCAGTATAAAAACAAAATCAGGGAGTGCGGCAAAATGCCGCCTACCTATTTTTGTTTATACAGAATGCACCTTTTTCAGGGCAATGGGGGGCGTGAGCAAGTAACAAAACTTGTAGCTCAGCGTGTGACATAAACAGTGACGTGGGAGGGAAGCCGTGGCTGGTCAGTCCTTTGGCGATTCTCTCATAAATTGGCTCGTCCTTCACTGTCCCCGTCATCTGACGGTTAATGGCCTCTTTGTTTGCGAGGACAAGGAGGGTGCACAATTCTTTGTCCTCCCCAGTTGTTCATCTTTACAGTGTCTGTCAGGTTTGCGTTTCCCTCTTAATAATTCCTGCTATCAGCTGTTTCCTGTTTATCCACCGCCAGTAGCTCACACGTGCGGCGTCATCAACAGCCCCTCCCATGGCGGAAGGGTGCCTCGGTCTGTTTAAACCAAAAAGGTTCCGACAATATGACTACTCTACGAGGCGGAAAATTGGGCACCTCGGATCAACTCGCCAATCCGGCTCTGTGTGTCTAAACGCTCGCAGCTTGCCGGCAGAACAGCCCAACATTCGCTGGAAATCTGGCAAGTGTAAAAGGGGCTAATGAGTTAATCAAGAGAATTCTGGACAGACTTAATTCTAATAAAATTTTTACTTGCAGCCCTATAATATACAAATAGTACATAATAATAATACATGTTATTGATAGATACCTTTTAAGACACAGGCAAAAGATAGAGAAAATAACAGCAGAATAAAAAAGTCAACGAGATAAGGAATAAAGTAACATAAAAAATAATAACACAACAAATAAATATTCAGCAAAAGAAGTCACATGTCATTAAACATTCATTTATGTTGCACCCTTTACACCCTTTTACTTACTAAAGGAACAGTGTGTACGATTTAGGGGGATTTAGAGACATCTAGTGGTGAGGACTGCAGATTGCAACCAGCTAAAACTTTTCCTGGTTAGAATTCCTTCAGTGATCATTGTTCAGGAGGTTTATGTCATTAGCTGAATTATCCAGAAGTCTCTTCCTCTCCAAAATAGACACACCAAGTGATTTTAAACCTGTTTCTACAACACTGTTCAGCATGTTGGAGATAGATCTCTAGCCTAGGACCTGCAAATGTGTGCTCAGCTTTTTCTCTGATAATTTGAGATCCAGACATCTAGGAGTTTTTTTTTTTTTTTTTTTTTTTAACCGGGAGCCAAATTATCCAAAGAGTTTGCTTCCTCTCCAAAAAAATGGACTGGGTTATTTAAACTGGCAAAAACTCCAAATGAAGCATTTTCACATTAAAAATCAGTCTTCTTTCCTGACACGCTCCTCACAAAGGGGCCGCTAACTATGGTGGCAGACATGAAAACATGAATGGCCCTATCTAGAGCCAGTGTTTGGTTTGTCCGTTCTGGGCTACTGTAGAAACATGGAAATCAATGAAGATGCGGGCCCGCTCCCTATGTAGATATAAACGGCTCATTCTAAGGTAATTAAAACATGATGAATCGTATTTTCAGGTGATTATACACTTAAGAAAACATACTTATTTTATTCCATATCTGCAAATATATCCCCGTAAATCCTACAAACTGGACCTTTAACACCACAAAGTGGTTTTGTTGATCTGTTGTTGCCTAAAAAAGATTTTAAAATGATCTCCAAGTGCTGAAATCAAGTGTTTTCTTTTCTCTTTCCTTCTTCGTCACCAACAGAAGATTAGTCCTGATGGGCAGCCCACCAGCTCAGCCCACCCGGCTCGCTTCTCCCCAGATGACAAGTTCTCCCGACACCGGGTGGTAGTGAAGAAACGCTTCGGCCTTCTGCTCACCCAGCAGCCCAGACCTGTCCTGTGAGAGAGAAGTGGAGAGACGGAGGCGAGAGATGGAGGGATGGATGGAGGGATGAAGGCGAAGATGGGACTGTAAAGCAGAAAGTCAAACAACACATTCAGGATCACAACTTGTGAACGTGCGACCAGGACTTGTCCTCAGTTTCACCCAAATGTATGGGGCTGTTAATGCTCAGTTAATGGTCATCAGCTGTTGATGATATTATGGGTCTTCTTTTTATTACTGCTATTTGTTGGCATTCATTTAAGGATAATGGGATCATTTTGTTTTAATGCTGAATAAATGTTTTGTTAATGGTTTATAATGGTTTGTGTGTGTGCATAAATCCAGCTGGATGACAGATTTAAGAATAGAAACTGTAGAAACATTACAAATGCAGATGCTTTCATACAAAGCATGCGGGCGTAGTGAACAGTTTTATGAGTAGCCCATGACAACAGTGTGAATCATATGTTACGGCCTTCACAGTCACTAAATTTCAACCCATTTAAGTCTCCTTAAGAAATACACAAATTACAGAACACCTCCAAGTTTTGTATTACATATTTTTGTGGTAACATGCACTGCAAAAGATGTCGTAATTAGATTTTTATGATAACGGGGAATGTCGCTGTTATATTTTATATCCTGCATATGTTCCGATCAATGTTGACTTCTGAAAAATTCCCCCGATGGAGTAAAATAAAGAATTTACTCACAGGATTTGAGGAACTACACATACACATTAACTTGGTGGAAGAAGTAGGCTACTCAATTTTTTTAGTAAACTAAAACACCACTGTAAAAAACCCTACTTAAGTCAAAGTAAAAGTACAGAATTATCAACAGCAAAAATATATTTAAAGAATCAACAATTTATGTACTACTTCTGCCACAAAATGGCCACAGGGACTCATATATGATGATATATCACGTTATTGGATTGTAAACACTGATGCAAAAATGTGTAAGTGACATTTTGGGGGGCACTTAAAATTGTATTTTGTAAGCTAATCACAGGCTACACTTTTTAAAATGTTTTATAATACAGCTGCAAGATAAATGTAGCAGAGCACAACTATAATGTAGGATAAAATGGAGATACTCAAGTACATGTACCAGGGGTGACACTACTTTGTACCATTAATCCGCTTTACTCTCATTTTTCTATTCAAACTGGCATGAACGTCATCATTATTAAAATTATTTATATTATTGAATTTAAGAAATAAATTCAAAGCAAGAAGCACTAGAAAGCTGTTAAAACCGAGCCTATCATTGTCTAACCTTTAAAGACTACATCTACCAGCCAGCGTCGGCCGCTTGTTCGTCATCGCGCATGCGCCGGCCGTTGGAACGACGGCAAGTGAAATAGGACGAGTCAAACGCGCTCGAATGTTTTTTTGTTGGGTCGGTTGGACAAAAAAAGTGCCGAGAAAACCTGGGAGAGGAGCCAAATTTTCCCAGATGTAACTGAAAACAGCCATATGGTGGAAGCGTCCTTTAACGGGAACTTGAGCCAGGTATGCGCTTTATGTGACTAACGTGTACGGTTTGACATTTTTCAGTGGGCGGTTTGTCGCTGTCAGTGAAATAGCTGGAGGTCCGCGGAGTTTTATCAGCAGCATGGCTAGCCTCTGGCTAACGTTAGCTTCGGCTAGCTGTACCGACTGGAGCGAAGCGCCCGAGACCACCTCACCCGACACAACCCCCGGGTACCTACAGCTACCCAAGTGATGCCTCAGCGCCTGGCGTGCCGCTGTCCATTACGTGACGCTTTATTAGCACGAAAACCACAACTTCACTAATAACAGGCTAATTACTCCACCAGTTTACCCCATATCAACTGCGCGACTCTGTGATTTTAGCCGGTTTCAAATGCGTTTCTGAGCTGAACCCTGAAACCGCAGCTCCAGACAGATGCCGCATTCCCTCTCACGTTAAAATGCTCCACGCTCAAGTCGAAACATCTACTCCCAATTTGATTATTACGACAACAACGCCAGCTCCTGTGCCTGTATCGGGAGGTGTTTACTGACCGGTTCAAGCCAGAATTATTATGGCTAGCTTAATTGGCTTACTGTGGCAACTGAGTGGCAGTTAGCAAGCGAGGATCACTATCAACGCGGCTTTGCTTAAGTTGCTGCTCGGGACTAATTAAGGGGATGTTTATCCTAATTAATGAAGGCGTGTTTGGCTATATGTGTGTCCCTCTGGGTCATATTGATTAGAGCTGAATTAACGTGACTACTCGTGACAGCATTGACAGCTAGGTAAGACTGCATCATCTCCTTGTTATGACTTTTGTTATACATAATAATTGCGACAGTATTTTGGGGGTTTATACTGGTGCTGTGATGCGGTATTTTGGGTTAAGGGCTGCTGATTAACTGTCTGATGCATATGCTGAAAAACCTGTAACTTAATGTGAAATAACAGCTGCATTACAACCATTTACTCATCATAAAACTCAGATAAAAAGTCAGAAATTATGCAACATACACCCTTAAAACACCATTTAAGAAACAGGAAACATCCTGTTTTAACAATATGTCTATTTTTGTGCAAGGTGATATGAGTTTCATCTCACATATTAATTTCACATCCTCCAAAGGTAGTTGTTTAAGGTGTTAGGGAACTACACTTGACCACTTTGGAACTACAGCACCGCCTCTCATGCTAATTTGGTGCTCTGCAATATGCAAAAAGACATTTGTGTAACCGAGCAGCAAAACAGCCCTCCAACATGCAAAAAAAACCATCTTAAATCAAAAAAGCAAAAATCAGTGCTGAATGGCCATAAAAAAGAACAAAATGTTCTGAAGCTTTCAAGCTGGATTAGTCCTGCTTACACCAACAATAGACAGAAAGAGGAAACTTGAGGTTTTATAGTAATCACATCTGTATTAGCACACGAGGAGGAGGGAGCAAATGTGTGCAGTTAAAAAAGGAAACACCCTTGCCTCATGTGTCACATGTGTTGCGATGTCTGTGCCAAGGTATTGATAACACACCATGGGAAAATGTACCTAGATGTATCACCAGGTTTGTGTGGCTGGAACAGTGTGTTACAGAGCGGAGATGTTTGGGAGGAGATAACAAGAGTGGGGAGATTTGCATGTGTCCAGCTCAGTCTAAAGACCATTGAGTTGTATTGGAGGCTCCTAAATTGCCTGTAGGTGTGAATGTGTTTGTCTAGACTAATAACATCTCCGGGGTGTTTCACAGCCTCTTTACACAATGCATGCTGGGATAGGCCTCTGCTCCCCCACCGAGTCGCCCAAACCTGAGTGGAAGTTTGTGAAAATAACCCCCCCCCTCTTCCCAGCGAGCTTTTCCAGTTGAACGGGAAAGACGAGTGTCACTGCTCCCTTTATCCGGCCGTCTCGCCTCCTGTCCATCCCGAGTGTGGACGGACAAAGCTCGTGAAGCAGGGAGCATTATAAAACTGGAAAATGTGCTGTGCCTCTGCATGCAGAGCGAGAGGAAATAGCCAGCAGCTACTGGCACAACCGGTTGGAACCGCTCTCCTTTTAATAATTAAATTATGAACTGAGCTAAAACAACAGCTCCGCTGTACCCACCTGTCTTGTCACTTTCTTCCCCAAGACGAAGGTGTGCATTGCGTGGTTGACTTTGCACCTGCGAGGCACACGGACCGACAATGTGGTGGTTCATACTGGTTATTGTTTTACAACTTCATTCAGAGAGATATTGTTGTGAAAGGATAATAAACCTGTCAAAAAATGTAGCTTGGTTAATTCATTACAATATATATGAAAGTTAAAGGAAACTGAACATGATTAAAATCAATAAAGGGTGTGATATTCAGAGTGCCCAGTTTTTAGTGACCTTTTGTCATATAGAGGGGCATGTTGAAGCCTGCATTTGTTGCCTTTAGAGCACACAGGCGGACTTGAAGTGACTGTTATCGGCAGATCCTTTACCAGGAAACAGGAAGTCTGTAGGTCCTTTGAAATAGGGGCCTTAGAACTCATTAAATAGTCCAAATTTTGAATTTGTGAGGTCTTAATCGCCACAAATATTTAATCTTTTAATGTCTTTTTGTCCAAAAATGTCAAGCTCTTCTCTGTTAAGACTTCTGGTGTTACAAACCTCTGAATTTTACGTATATTTGCACTCACCTGTTGAACTGTAATAACCATATTCCAACATAAAAGCCTAAGGTAAACATCCCTATTTAGCCAACCTAATCCGCTTTTCAGACATTCGTAACATAAATGGCCCCAGGTTAAGTGAGAACAATTTATTTCAAATGAAAGTCTAGTCTCGTATTTGAAGTGTTAATTATTTATTTATCCCAATTTCTTTCTTTTTTTGTGGAAGGCTGGGTTTTTTAGTAACAGTTTAAAGATTCCTGGACAATATTTATAATTATTAAGGGATACTATATAGATTAAAGAAGCTTAGTTACATACAGTTATTATGGTAGGCTACTTTTAAATAGGTGGGGTGGTTTGATGGTGTTCTTGAGCAAGACTCAAAATCCCTACCTGCTCAAGTTCTGTCATTCTGCGGCTGACCTTTGACCTCCCTGTAGGGTAGGAAAATAAATGGGAATCCATCAGTATCTCTTTATTATAAGACACAGCTGAATTGTTTATAATGACTTAATAACTGTAGCCCACTGCATCTTTTTCTGCAAGGTGGACCGATCCACTTCAACAGGCAAATACTAGCCCCATTTACGGTGCCAGATTTTCCGCGAGTGTTGGACCATTTTGCCGGCAAGCTGTGAGCGTTTAGACACACAGACTCGGATTGGCGGGTTGATCCGAGGTACCCAATTTTCTGCCTCGTAGGGTAGTCATATTGGCGGAACCCTTTTGGTTTAAAAAGACCGAGGGACTGAGGGATTTGTGGGAGGAGCTGATGACGCTGCACTGGTGGTGGATAAACAGGAAACAGCTGATAGCAGGAATTAGTGAGCAGCTGACAAACCTGACAGACACTGTAAAGATGAGCAACTGGGGAGACAAGGAATTGCGCGCCCTCCTTGTCCTCGCAACTTACGAGAGAATGGCTGAAGGACTGACTAGCTGCGGCTTCCCTCCCACATCACTGGTTATGTCACACGTTGAGCTACACGTTTTGTTACTTGCTCACGCCCCCCATTGCCCCGAAAATGGTGCATTCTGTATAAACAAAAGTAGGTGGCATTTTGCCGCACTCCCCGATTTTGTTTTTATACTGCCAATGCTGAACGAAGCCTGATTGGGCTTTCCTGCAAATTTGCACAATTCCTGTCTAAAAAGGGCTTAAAATTAGGTGGGGGAAAAAGTGGATAAATTGATATCAGTATCGGTTATTGGCCAAAAAAGATAGCAGCAAGAAATCTAACATGCATCCCTCAAAATAAGTCTTTAATTTGATTGAAAATGATCTTAAAATGATCTTAAAAAGCATTAAATGTAAGTGTCTGATACCTGTAGACACCCTGAAAACCTCCAGTGCTTCTTTTCTTCTGTGCATGGATTTATTTTATGATACTACAGAGGAAGCATTGTAATACTGTGTTTGACTGATTATCTTTTCAAGTAGTTATACAAAGATTGTTGCGGCTTTTTCTTCTTTTATTCACCATTATGTAACCTACTCACACTTCAAGATACTGTGTTCCTTTCACTAACATCTGGGCCAGTTTTTGCTGTGTAAACTAATCTCTGCTCTCCTTTCTTCTCTCTTATCTCAACCATTTCCCTCTGATGACTTTTCTTCCCACAATGGCATTCCCCTCCCTGGTTTGGTCCACTGTTGGTTGCTATCATTAGAAAGACATTTTTATCTCCAAGGTGCATGCCAGACAGATTTTAGGCACAGAGGGAGCCGAGCTTGACACACTATGCGACTGCTATCCTGAGCCGTAGTCCTTATCCACAGGAATCTAGAAACACTGTGGGGAGAGAAAATACTGTACAAAGCGCAGAAACACTATTTCATATCTGTTTAATTGGAAGAAGGGAAAGATTTCAACTTTTTGTGTTTGAGTACTTATCTCTGATAGCTGCTTTGAGCTGGTACGCTACACATTCACACATTTAAGGAAGCTGTACTTCTGTGTCACTCAGTAATCCACTACATTTTAAACACTATCAGAAAGACACTCGTAGACACAGAACGAGACCTGTTGCAGATCCTCTTTCACATGCCTGGTGGCAGCCGACCACTTTGCTCCAATGGAGAATCGCAGCAGCAAAAGAACAAATTGTAGAGGCCGCCGTTACCTCAGCATCACCTGGGAGATAGCCTAGCCTAGCCTAGCTTAGCTCAGCTCAGCTCAGGTCAGCACAGCCCCGCCAGCTCGTCCTTGACTCCTCCTCAACCCCATCCTTCTCCTCCTGCGTCCCACGCAACGCCCCCCTCTTCCCTCTCTGCTTTTTTCCAAGTGAGTTGCCATGGCATCGGTGCGCTTCACGGTGACGCCCACTAAGGCGGAGGACCTCCCGGGGCTGTCCGACACGTCGCCTGACATCAGCTCCCGCTCCGGTGCCCGCGTGCGCTTCGGCTCCAGGGAAAGCGTCAATCGAAGTGACCCACTCAGTGATGCGTCTGGTGGTTGGACGACGACTGCGGGAGGGGCGGAAACGCCGGACCACAGCAATGTGGATCAAGGTGAAGAACACATACCCATGTACACATGATGTGTTGTTTTAAGGTACTCTTTACAAGACTTGACATGTTTAAAATATACCTTTCTAGGTGTGTTTATTATTTTCATGGTGGACTGAGTGAAGTGCTTCCTGCGTTGAGAAATAAAAAGCAGATCACGCACCCAGCCTGCATACCAACCTCTCACTCTGTGTCTAATCCTGCTACTTAGATTGCCTCAGTGAATTCACTCTTTAATCCATATGTTTGAGACATGTAAGACAGCCACTCCTCCCTCCTGGTACACTGCGTTAGAAGAAAGCATGTAATGTGGCCCCCTCCTTAACACTAAAAAAGTCCTTGTACAGATTGGCTGCAGTTTGAATGCCATGTTGCTGAAACTCTTTGTAGAAAAAGCAGTGGCAGTTAAGTGGAAAATGTCCCTAAAAACACAAACAAGATTATGTTGTTAGATTTTGATTCAGGATCTTTTAAGTCTCTTATTTGTCAGTCAGAGGTTACAATTGTCTTACTACCCAAAGCAACATATCACGTACTGCATCTAAGTTGCTAAAGGATCCATATCACAGCTATAAAGCAAAATTAACCTCTGAGGTTAATGAATGTGGGTTATAATACTTGTGGTACAAAGGTGGAAACACCAATCCAGGATACTTGACATTTGAAGGTAACCTAAGCGTCAAGGATCTGGAATTTAAGATTGGCATGATGTAGTCTATAGGAACCATCACTGTAATAATTACAGGTTATTATCCCCCCGCCAAGTCGTGGGTGTGCATGTGTGTTTGCATCTGTCTGTTCCATAAGTACTATTCGGACGGCATTAGTTTGACATAGGGATGTGGACTAATGTCAGTTTACCACAGGATGTCTGTAATATAAATGTCCGATTCGCACAGGACAAAAAATCTCCGTAATTCTACCAGAGATGGGAGTGGTAACTCGATTTGCGCCCTGGCGTCACTCCCCTGTGTGCATGTGCATGCTGCATTGCTTCCTGTAAGCACCAGCTGAAAGATAATAATAATTAATGATTAGCCCAATATGAAATATTGCCAATGATCAGGATTGTGTGTACACAACGATTAGCAATATGGATTTATATTGGGCCTGCCTAACACAACCAGAAGTCTCATGGCTCTGAAAAGTGCTGTCTTCTCGACCTTTTTGATTGGTCTCCCACGTAGGGCTATGTGATCATTAGAAGAAACGCCATCATCGGAAAAACGCGGAAAACTACTTGTAAACGCGGAAAAATGGTTGTAAACAGGACGTAACGAAATATTTACATACATTTTTACAGAGGATCGCGTTCGCACAGGATTAATATTACCCGACGTATTTTCTCTGGACCGTTTTACAGAAGGTAAAAGTCGCCGTAATTTTTACTGACATTATCCGTAATGATTACAGGCAATGGTGCGTTCGGACGAGACTAAAATCCCTGGTAATAATTACTTTACCCCACGTCTCCACGTTAAACTACTCCCGTCCAAATAGGCCTATAGACAGTAAAGATAAAGGACATAGCCACCGTGATTGGTGTGGGGCCTCCCTTTTTGAAACCTCAAATTCTGCATTTTGGTTGTTGCCATCTTGTTTTTTTGTTGCCAGAAGTGACCATATTTAGGTTAGTGGGTGGTGCTGTGGAGGGGTGAGCCAAGGACACTATCGGCAGATAGACTGCCACTCAAAGTATCCCTTAATTATGTGTAACTTTAAGCCTTGATAAAATGTAAACTGGTGAGTTATATAAACATCCACACCCTGTACAGTTGTCATGAATGTTGACATTAGCTGTAGAGACTAAAACAGTTTTTTTGTACCAGGCTGTAAACATGTTTTTTCTGCTGTAAAGTTGCACTTAAACTTGGAGGTCTATGGGGATTGACTCGCTCTTGGAGTCAGCCTCAAGTGGCCATTTAATGAACTGCAGGTTTTGGCACTTTCATGTTAGCTTCATATTTTAGCCACAGAGGTTGCTTCTTGGTTTGTTTGCTACTGGACCAATCAGCCTAATATTTTGTGTGCACAATAATGACCTCTCGTGGTTGCAGTGATTCACAGCTGTTGATAAAACATGTTTTATTGATTGTTTTATACCGTCACTGACTCCTCACTCCTCTTATTTGGCCAGTAGGAGCTGCAAGATTTCCAAAAATTGGCTCGACTAAGAACAAGCCTTACGGTCTGTTGCAGGCCCCATTTTGGCCTTTGTTGTGGCACAGAACTGACATCCCAAAAAAAGTATGGTCTCATTTTGAACAGCAGCATCTGCAGATGTTATGATCCACTACGTTAGACACAATATGAGATGAATAAGTCCCTTTTTTTTGTTGTCTTTGCTGCCATCTTGACAGTAATGAAGGTGTGAGGGACAGTTACACTGGGCGCAACTTTGCTGTTTTCCGGCTGCCATGGCTGCGACCTGGTTTTGCTCCGTCTGCCGCATGGCGTCATAGCCTACCACACCTGGAGTATTTCACAAGCGGAAGCTGTTTTGTCCATTTAATTGTGGTTATTGTTGTTATTTCCTACTTTGTTGTACTGTAGCTACAGACAAAGTTGACAACATTAAATGTCCAGTTATGATGACATGATAGAGCAAAGATTTGTAGCTGTGTTTTAGTTATTAAAAATACCTTTGTCCTCATATTGATATTATATCTACATTTCAAATACAGTGCCTGTTAGCAGGAGAAATCGATCAGCTATGTGCAACGTGCTGCGGCTTTTTGCAAAATAGACGAGGGGTGTATTTCTGTTAGCTTCTGGGACTCTTGTCAAACGTGTTGTGGGGCGTCTGCTGGAATTACAAGAATTCTCTAGAGTGTCTGAGATCGTCTCAGGTGGCGACCAGGCTGAGATCTGCACTTTACTAGTTAGTAACAGTTTTCAGTCAGGAGTTCTCACATCCTCTGTCATCAGTGGTTGCGCTTTGTTCAAGTACAGACACTGTCACAGTACACTGGCTCTGCTGGCTCATGTTGTCCTGTTGGCTATATAGAGGTAGTCTAGGAGCGCTGGATTCCCACACATTGTATTCTCTGGAGTGGGCCAGTCAGGGATTCCCACTGGCAAGGAAGATACCCAGGATCACAAGGTTTCAGACAGCTATATGTCCAAACTGTCAGTTACAGGGGAAGTAAAAAAAGAAGTGCTTTCTTTTGGGTGTCTCCTCATGCTTGTCTCAAGTTTAACAATTTGTTTTTAAATGTCTCTGGATCATAAAGCTCTTTATTTGTTGACTTGAGGGGTGCACAGCCAAACCAGGTTCAACGTATCTGCACTGAGCCGACGTTGAGAACAATAGGATGACTGTAATGTATGCCTATTGTGATCATAGTGTAGGTTTCACTTCCCCCACTGCTGTTACCGGCCCACCTACAGCAGGGCAGATACAGTGATTCAGTTCTTTACTTAATGGGAGCTGACAGCAGAAACCTTTTCACATGGACTCAGTTTTAGCAGGTACAGCTAGTAAGTGTAGCTTGCCGTGACACTGCGATGAGTAAAATGGTTAACAGTCTTCCTCTGACCTCTGTGACTGTGCAGGTGTCGTGTGGCATGCAGTAACTCACTTTCCAAAAGTGTTTAAGAATAGCTGCTCAACACGGCTCAACACGGGAGGTTATAACAGTGGAGAGATGTAACTGTATTAGCAACGCTGATCCGTTTAAGCGGTTGCATAGTAGTGAGGATGCCCCACGTTGTTTAATAAGCTTCCATAAATAGAAATGGAGCCGGTTAATCCGACTGAGCTTCGATCAGGCTGAGCGATGCTGCAGTTGTTTAAACACAGAAACAAAGAGGGGAGACTGTCGGAGATAGAATTGCACAGTAGTCGTCTCGGCTGGAGAAAAACGCCCGTGGAAAACCAGCACGCTGACAAGAAAAATGCTCCTGTTGACGTGAATGAGTCAAGATACTGAAAGGCGATGAAGGGGAAGGGAGGCAGGAGGAGCGGAGAGTTATTTTCAGAAAGGCCAAATGCTCTGTGATCCATCATATTTGACACCAATAAAGTTTGCTACTGAATTTGATGTGCTTACAGCTTGCAGACATGCACGCATCTGGCTTCAGTGGCTTTCTGCTTCACTGGTTTCACACACACACACACACACACATACAAAGGCGTTACACTCAGATGTGTTTAACTCAGGTGGAGGACTTCTCTTGGGGAACATACACATGAACCGACAGCTGTGTTCCCTTGTGTTAACCTTAGTGTGAACGCTGCAGTTAAACAGTGACAGGATGTTTTTTTCTGCAGTCATAACGGAAAGTATCACTGGATAGTTTTTAGCGGTGATTTTTTTTTACTATTTTTCATTGTGGTTTTCATCAAATTAGGACAAATGGTACTTTTATTTTTCAATAAATCTGTTTGAATACTAATTACTTTGATAATTAAGTGATAATTGCAGTGATAATTTGCCTCCCTGTAGCTGAGGCCCAGGAAGGCATTCTGGTATAATTCTGTGTCCCCTCTTTGAATTCAGAGGTTTTTGTGGGTCCATGAATGCAGCGCAGGCAGAACTCTTCATGAGTTTGTTATTCCTCAGCAGCAGATTGTTCATTTTTAGTCTCAGGGTTGATAATTGATCAGCCATACCAATCAGATAGATGGATAAGAGGAGCAGCTGCTGCAGAGGCGAGTGAAAGCTAACTTTTAGACCCAGGGCAATGAACGGTTAAGGCTGCTTTCAGACTGCTGTTCTTGCTTTGGTCTGAATCATGGACTTATTTTGTTACAAAGTTCAGTAATTGCCTAGAGTTGGTTCATGTTCTCACGGCAGCAATTACAAGTGGACCAGATCAAAGAAAGCTGCTCTTGATTGGTCAAAATTTCCATGCGGGAAAAATCCAGGAAGTAAGCAAAACGTTGAAGAAGAGTACACTTGCAAGATAAATGTGACACTTTCTAATGTCACAATGGAGGGACAACTACGCAGGTTGATTTTAGCGCTGCTCATCGTGGACTATATTGCTGTCATTGTTCA